GACACCTATGAAGTTAAAATAGCATCTATGAAGCTTCTAGGAAGCTTCTATATCAAATACTGTAGAATTAACTTACTTTTATCTATTGTTACTTGCTTCCACTTATTTATATATGTAATTACTAGCTTACATGAGTATGTCCGTGACAGCATATAGATCACAAGAACCGTGAGTATTTCAAGTTGGCACATATTTTGAATCATTGCAAAGCTTATCAGAGTACATCACTATCAAGATTTGATTTTAAGATCACTTATCGATCTAAAAAATAATAAGAATTATCACATGCTCTTTCTAGATATTATCTTCCATCGAAAGAAGGAGATACATCTTTTGATCAAGAAAGAATAATTATCTTAAAACTAGAGCATTTTCATCTTGAAGCAAAAGAATCAATATTGTCTATTGATTCAACATTTTTCAAGTAAGTTCAATGAAATACATCCTTTGATCTTCTTGTTTATGATATTAAGAATAATTCTTCTAAGTTTTATAATACTTTTAAGTTTAATTTTAAAAATAATCTATTTTATTTTTAAAATATATATATATATTCTAAAAGGCAAAGCACAATGATATATTTTTTAAGTTCGTGATGATGATTTTTCAGTAGTTGAATATTTTTTAATAAAACAAGACTTTGAGGCTAAAATCTAGAAATTTTTGGTGGCTTCAAGATTAGAAGGTAGTTAAAGACTTTGTGTAATCATGAAATATTTGTTTAATTTCAAAAACTCCTCGTCATCAACCTTATAAACTTCTTTAGCCATTACCTATTTTGAAACAACTATGGTCTTTTATTTCTATGGATTTTGTCATGGATCTTTTAGTCTCAAGTTCATATAATTTTTTATTTGTAATAATAGATTTTTTTACCCAGATGACACATTTTGTACCATATACAAAATCTATCATAAATGAAGAATCATCTAAGTTTTTTTTTGATAACTTCTATTGCTATTATAGATTTTTAAAGGATATTATATTGGATAAGAGGACTCAATTTGTATTAAAATTTTGAATAATCTTTTTCAAGATTTTAAATGTAGATATAAAACTCTCTTCGTCTTTTCTTCTCTTAATTGATGGACAAATGGAATTAAGTTTTAGATCAGTATTTGAGGTATACCATAAATTATCTTTAAGATAATTAGACAAATTTTTGACTATTTGCAAAGTTTACATATAATAATTTAGTATTTTTTCAATTAATATATTTTTTATTATCAATTATAATTATCATTTATAACTTGATATTTTTGACTTTTCAAAAATTAATAATCATGAAACAAAAGATTTGGCAAATTTTTTATTAGAGCTACATATAACAATGAAGGTGCAATTAAAAAAAGCTCAAGAATGACAAAAAATCAATGCAGATGTTTATTGCAAATAGCGAATATAATTCAATGTGAATGATAAGGTATGATTAATTAATTATAATATTAAGACTACTTGTCCTTATGACAAGTTAGTCTAACATAGATTTAGACATTTTTTATTTCTAAACAAGTCAAATCCTCTTGTTTATCAATTACACCTACTAGAATCTATAAAGATTCATCTTATATTTTATATATTTCTTCTTCAGCCATATAAGATAATGAATATCTCGAGAGATTATCAAATATCACATCCTCTTATAAAAGTGGATAATAATCAAGAGCTTGAAGTGGAAGAAGATTTAGATTCAAGGTGGTGCCAAAATAGATTGAAATATCTTATTTGTTAGTATAGATATGATATTAGTAGATGCACATGAGAACCAGCAAAGAATCTTTGTAAATGTAATAAAATAGATTAAATATTTGTAATTAATTGATAGATTAGAAACTTGGTCAACAAGTTAATTACATGCTATACATTGTAATAGCTTATAGAACAAGCTAACTATATGACATACATATAGAAAACTTGCCTTACAAATTAAGATATATGTTTAGCAAAGTCTACATATATTAGAGGTCCTATAGAACATTGCCACAAAGCTCATAGTTGGATAGTATATATAGAGGCAAGAGTAAAGCCTTCTTCACTCTTATTAGTGCCTTTTTAATCCTTAGTCTTCTTTCAAGACTTTCTAGTCTTCTTGTCTTTGGTAATAGCCATTCAAGTTTAATATTATGATCTTTGAGTGATTTTTTAGTCTTTTTAAGTGACACAAGAATATATTAAAGATTTCTTTCTTTGAAATTCATGTCATTGATAATATTTGACATAAACAAAAAGTATTTTTTAATAATGTAATATATATATTGTGTTTTTAATCTCATCACAATTTTTGCTAATGCCACCATAAGTTGTCTTAAACTTGTATTGTATACGATAATGTATTTTATAGAATATTATTAATGCGCATTTTTCTTTATAAATGTATATTTTAGTATTTCACAAAATGCATTTTGGTATACAACTCAAGTTTAAAATAACTTGTAGTGGCATTAATATCATCCAATATATATATATATATATATATATATATATATATATATTAAAAATTACAACAATAAAGATACAAAGAGAAAAAAAGATATATATATATATATATATTTATTTATTTTTAGATATATTTTTAAAAATATAATATAATATCTTTTATAAAAATCATATATATTCTAATGATTTTATTACTATATAAGTATAAATAGAAGAAAAAATATTTTACAAAGTATATATATAAATATATTTAATAATTAGAACTACCATTTTTTCTTCTCTTTAAATACTATATTTATCTTAATAGAAGTCTTAAAATATAGTTTTTAAAATATATAATAATAAGAATTTAAAGTAAATTATAATAAAAATACAAGGTTTCATGGATCTTTAACACATCTAATAATTTTTTCAATAGTTGTATTATTAAATCTTGTATTTGAATCTTATTAAGTATAGCAAATACCAAAGCATAATATTGATAACAATATTGAATTTGCATTGAATATGCAACTTTTTTTTAAAATATTAAATTAGTTTTACAAACAAGAATCGAAAAAAATTAAACAATGTTTTTGTATATTAGCAAGTAAGTTATACATTAATTAAATAATGAAATATTAAAGGACTACATGTTTTTCAAAATGTAACATGTTGCAACATGTAGCATCCTAAACTCAAAGTCGTTTTGAGGTATAAACTGTTTCAGCAATGGCGGCAAAGAACATGGGCGTGAATGATAAATGAGATCTGCTCGAGGAGCTCGTGGAGTAAAAAAACACGCAACACATGGAAGTCACTTCAACTGGCTCAGCGAAGAAACACAACACAACAACGATCTGAAAAATGAAGTTGAAAATCTGGAACTGTGAAATTTCATAACTCCACGTAAATTATAAAAGCATTGATTAATTTATAAAGTCTCCATCCATCAAGGTTATAAATTAAGTGAGGTGCATTTGTAATTAACTTAATTAAGAGACGTAAATACTGAAAAAAACTATTTAGACAAAATAGATATTATTTTAGAAATAAAACAAAGCACTTTTTAAATATTTATGGCATACATATTGCTACATAATTTGATATTTATTAACTTGTATTTGAGGCTTGTGAGTTCTTTATTGTTTGGGTATTAATAGGCATTGTTTTTAAATTAAATAAATTACTAAATAAAATAAATAAATTTACATTAATACATGCATGACATATATTAATAAGTTAGAATGTCACATTTTTTTGTTATTTCTTTAAAGACACAAATTTTATATTTCCACATGTTCTTAACACTTTCTATTTGTTGTCTCCAATCAAATAATGGCCCATGATGGCATACACCAATGATGCACACTTTATGCATCTTTATTTGTCAAGTTCTAAAAGTTACACGGAATTAAATTATTTACGTTGGTACAATCACTCAATAGCATAGTGTGGAGAAACAAGTGAAAAAAAAAAAAAAAAAAAAAAAAAAAAAAACTTCAAAATTAGATGTCATACAAGAATGATCTAAAAATTCCAAATTAATAAAATTTCCGTGCATAACTATAAAGGTCTTCAGTGGCACTCTCTACACTTTCAATCAACTTTGAAGAGTGCAACAAGTTGGGATTGGAACCCCTTCGGAAGTATATGGATCACACAAAAATGGGCCCTCTCATCAATGACTCCTCCCCTTTTCTTAATGGAACGACACTTTCACGTCTCATTGGCTAGACCCTGAAAAGATCAAATCTGGCCTCTCCTAGGATTCCAATATTCATTAATGGGACCCCACCCATCATTTCTTGTGGTCTTCATTTCCTCTTTTGAATTGAAAATAGCAAGAAATCTTTGGTCCCTTAAATGTCTGATGCGTGTCTTTTTCTTCCCCCAACTCCTTGTTTTATATTATTTTGTTGCTATCTCGGATTTCTCTCCAGATTGGAGATTATAGGAATTCAGATTTGGCCACTTTTATCTTCAGCTGCTGTTGTAAACGTAGCCAATTCCAGGAGAGCGGAAGCACATTTCAATGTGGGTTCTTTCAGGGCATCAGGGGTATCAAGTACGGAGAATATTTGGGAGAAACAAGTTTGGAATAGAATAGACGAGACCAATGGGAGTGAGTGAGCCACTGTTTACTTCTCAGAATGTGAGAATTGCCTCAAATTTAGGAGAATAATATGAGTTGGTGTCATGGATGGGTAGAATATCACATGCACCCCACCTCCACATTTTCCATTCTTTACAAAAAGAAATAACTAGTGGTGGGAGTTGGGAGAAGTTTCTCAATGCTTGGATGAAGTGCACGATGTCCCATCCCACGCTGCCTGTGATAGAATTAACACACATTCTACTCTCGAAGAGCAAGCAAAATAAAATGTCTCCGAATCTATCGGACGAATCTGGACGACATGGACGCATGTCTCCATTTGTTCCATGATTCCGTGCCCACTCTGAGGTTCTCCCTGATGTTTTCTCGAGCATGTATCAAATTTCTTTCCTGACTTGGAAAATGTGCCCCGGCATCTCTTGAGTCGCACAAGCTGGATGACATTGAATCTAAGCACGACGGAACTGGGGAAGTTAAACAGGAATTGTATCACTGTAGTATTGAATGGGTAGTGTTACACGGCAATGTCAATGTATCACCTATGAGGACAAGAAACAAGACTGGAAGTTTGTCAAGTCCACACATTTGAAGGAGCAGTCTCCAGAATTTGACCATACACTCTTGCCTCAGCTTCCAGGGCTGTGCTGACAAACTACAGTAGACTTCTACCAAATAAGTCATGAGAGCCTATCGATTACCTTCAGACAACTCATGTTTCACCTCGAACGTTGATTAAGCCATAGCTTTGGGATTCATGTCGAAGTAGCTTCGCCAGTGACGTGGTTTGTTCCAGCAGGCCGCGGAAGTGCCGGAGGAACCCAGACTGACTGTTAAAGGGATTAAAATCCGCGGCATTTAGAAGTTGGGATCTGTCTCGTAGTAAACGATGTTGCCCGTGTCAGCCACGAAGTGATCCTCTTTAAAACTTTGGAGAAGTGGATCCAGCAGATGCAACGGAATGGGCCCCGACTTCATCGGATTCCTATAGTACTCCCCCAGCAAAGGCTTGACAGCTTCCGTCTGCAAAAGACCACAGATGTGCTTCGTTGACCGTAGACTCAAAGTAGAAAATCTCGTCATTCATACCACTAATTACACGCCGTCCAACACCAGAACAATTGACAATTCCGGGAACGAGTTACTGTAAATAGCAGGTCTTACCGCCTCAATCAGGTGGTAATGAGGAATCTGGGGAAACAAGTGGTGCACAACATGGGTACCAATGTCGTGATGAATGTTGTTAAAGATCCCGTAATCCCTATCAATTGTGGACAGCCCACCACGCATGTAATTCCACTCCTGCAATCATCACGTGATCAAACACGGAACCGATGAGGTGTGGATTGCGAAACCAGCTACTCAATCACTACATCACACTCAACTGTTGCATCGTCAGCAGATACTGAGAGGCTCACCTCGCCACGGTACCACGGAACCTTCTTTTCGTAACCATGATGGTGCAGGTACGTTACAGCGTCTAGCCACACCACATTTACCCAGTACGGCACCACATACAGCTTGAGTATCCACATCGGTCCCACCGCGAAGCTCAGAGCCACAAGGCCTGCAAGCATTGCTGCCCAGCATGTTGTTGAGGTGATCACGTCCTTCGCCTCGCTAGGAACGAATAGGTCACTCTTAGGGTCGTAGTGAGATCCAGTCTTTCCAGGACTCCTCGCCCACTGCCATCCTCGTCATCATCATGGTCAGCGTCAAGCAATCACAACCAAGCATATGCATTAAAAAGTAGATAAATGAACAATAGTTATCAACTGGGTAGCACGCCACACGTTCGTAACTTCACTGTGTCCCTCGATTTTCTATAGAGCTACAATATACATATTTATAAGCACTGCATAGTACCGAGAGAGCACGTATGTACACATTCCCAGGAAACGTGTAAGCACGTACCAAGTAGAATGGATAGGCGAACATTGCCCACGGGAACTTCAATCGTCCAACCTTTGCCAAGAGGTCCATTTTATCAAATTGGCTTTTGGTCAACTGAGGCAGTCAACAACCAGTGTCAGGAACAACTAGCAACATAGGTCGATTGCTGTACGACTATGTAACCGCAATTGCCACCAAACGTAGAGTTAGCGGCATACAAACAGGCGCGACTGTAAACACAATCCCGCTCCCAGCAATGTCAAGTTCTTACAGGGTGCCATGACTCGTCGTTCTCCACATGGCCATGGTTTTGGTGGTGGGTCCTGTGACTGATTCGCCTGTACCAACCAAATCAACATCAGATTCGGGTACTTCCATTGCTACAAGCACGATTACAGGAAATGGATCATTCAACGCCAAACTCAAATGTAAGAAGAGATAGGCTTGCCTCACCATCCGTGGTAAGGAACGAGTATGGACGAGTGAGTCAAGTGTCCAATGAGGCTGTTGAGTGTCTTGTTGTTGGAGAAGCTGCCGTGACCACTGCAAGAAGCAACGCCGATGCTCGAGATTAGAAAATCGTGGGTTGAAGTAGAGGTAAGCAAAGATCCACTAAAATACACCAGTCCGCGAGCCCTCACACAAACGAGTCGCTAAACAACTACAGAACAACGGCATCATGAACGGCCGAATATACTCACAATTAGACCTCTCTCAAATATCGAAAAGTTGATAACCCTCTCTCGCAGACCTCAATAAGGGCGGCGCATGTAGCGAAGACCAATGGCCTAAAACAAAAGACAACTTCTGTAGAGCCACTATTACAAACAACACGCATGGATGACCCTCACGGCTTCCTCCATATGATCACAGAATTTGATCTCCTGATCACACTCTCATCTCCAGATGGTCGCGAATTGTCACCCAGTTCTTTCAGAGATTCCAAGAGACCTACCAGTCATGACCCAGGACGAATAGGGCCCAAAACATAGTCCCCTGCGCTAGCCAATACAACGGCCACACAAACCAGCTGTTCACAGCTGCGGCTCCGGCCGCCAACCCGAACACAATCGCCACATCACGCATCACATAGCTCAGGGACTTCCATGTGTTCTTCTCCCAACAGTGCTTCGGAATCGCGGCCCTAATGTCGCTCAATGTGAATGGGGGCTTCCTGGCGGGGTCAAATTCTCCGCTCTCCTCTGCGATTTCGGGCGTTTCAGGCTCAGGCACCAACGTCAAAGGCGTCGCCACATTCAGCACCACCGAGCTCCTCTTCTTCGTCTCCACGTTCGACAGGGGATCCAACCCACCCAGCAACCCAAGTCCTCTCACCTGCGCCAACTTAATGAACGACGCTGGCCGCAACAACACTGCATTGCACGTCCTCGAGCTCGCAACCCCCTTGGTGACGACGAACGGTGACGCCACACCCGCGCACACGCTCTTCCTAGACACCAGAGAGGCTGCCATCGCTACACCGAGCAACGGCAAGCCAAACCCAACTCCAAAAAGCTCCAACCTTGCACCTTAAGCCGGAGGCAAGAGAGAATGACCAGGTAAGAGAGATATCTATCAATGATCTGGGCTACGACCCAAAATGCGAAAACCCGACAATCACTCGCAAGCCAGAGGAGAAATGGGTAGCGAGGACGATTGAGGTCACAAGCTCAGGAAACAACTGAGACGATCCGCCGCACAGTCGCGATGTCATGTCCCGCGCGTGAGCGGCTGTCGTGAAGGCCGCGTCACTACGGCGACGACGGCGCCTCGTCCATTGAATCCGACTTGGGTTTTCACCTGCTGGCGACGGGCGGCGGTTGCGCGGCCCGTTCTGTACAGTTATGCGGTTCACAGACGCAGGAAAGGGCCAGCTCCTGAGGTAGCGGCAGCGGCTGTTCGCAATAATACCCGGGGATGCACGCAATGATATCCTGTATTGGTTGCATTGATGCCCGGGGGTCAATAAGTGGGTGGCGGAGGATCCTTCCTGTCTGCTACTCGCTCTGTTCTCCACTGCCTTTTAGTGCGGCATTGGACGGTATCGGAGCCCAGTCGGCGTCGGGGTTCTGACGGCATCTCGCGTCTAGGAAGCACTGCTTAATCTGCGTCTGGCTGCGGCAGCATCCACAAGGGAGCAGCGGCTGAAAATATATCTTCCAGCTTCTCTTGGAACACTATATTTGGAGCCGAACTTGGTAGAACTGGTGATATTTTCCTGATGTCGGTGCTAGATATGTATGCATATTATTAATAACATTAATGATAATAGATGGTATTTTTTTTTTTTTTCTGAAATGATACCACAAAATAATTATACTGGACCATGTATATATATATATATATATATATATATATATACTTATCAATTATTTTTGTAAACACAAGGATATTTGTTTTCATTAATTGTACCCACACTTGTGATTTTTGTAAATTTGTTCTGTTCCCCAATAAAAATGGCCATATTTGTATCTGTGACATGTTGATAGTTTAAAAATTGTGTATGTCAAGAAATACGATACAAATATAAATGATAAAACATCAAATAAACAATATGCACAAAACATATATCTATATGAAACATTAGTTTGTTACAAGACATAGAAAATAAGCAATTAGAGCAAGTTTTATATTAGATTTTTTTCATACTGAGTGGTTTGTGTGTATATGTTTATAATAAGGAAGCTTAGTCACAAGACAAACATATAAAATAGCCTTCTCTTTGGCCAAAATGAGGCAAAAATCAAAGAAATCATTAACCAGCAAAAAGACCTTCAGTTTACAATTGCTATGTGTAAACAACTTTTTTGTGCACAATGGCAAAGGTTTCAGCTAATAAATAAATAAATATATGGAAATATATGTATATATATATATATATATATATATATATACACAAACACACATTATTCATAATTTTGCACTTGTATCATCAACATGAATAAATATTAACTATTAACATTAATCTATAAAACATCAATTGAAATTTACATATTATATTATCATACTAATATTTTATTATTTATAGTTTTATATTATTTTAAAATATATCTTTATATATACTAAAATAAAATAATAGTTATTATGTTTAAAATAGTAATTTTTTTAAGTATGTAAAATTTGAATATTAATAATAAATAATTTATTTTATATTTGGAATGGGTTATTCAAATTTAAATTATATAAAATTATTTTCTTATTAATTTTGATTTATGATATTAAATTTTAATAAAATAATATATTTATTAAATTATTAATGAAAGTAATATATGTATATATATATATATATATATATATAACAAAATACAACATTACAATTTGAAAGATGTTAACACAACAATGAAATATAACTAGATAAATACTAGGTATTTCTTTTGGTTGTTGTTAATGCTATCACACTTTTGTTACTACTACCAAAACTTATTCTTATTCACTTTTAAATAATTCTTTATTAAAAGTAACATTTTTATAATCTAAAAAAAATATGAAAAAGATATTAACATAAATTTTGATTAGAATACTCAAAAATCAAAAATCAAGTTAGTGGCAAATTATGATGGCAATAGAAAAAATTGTGGTGGCATTAGCAACACCTTGTCTTTTAAATACAAATAAATTCAATTATACCAATTATTTACACCAATCATATGAACATACATTCAAACCTTCTTACTTTCAAATACCAATTATAAAATTGGATCCAATCCAAAAAGATATAACCGACATTGGTGGATGTAAGTATCCTGAACTTTCTAATAGCAAGACAAAGAAGGAGTATGTGAAAATTTAAAAAATTAAACTTACTTTTTGTGGTTTGTAAAAATCCTACATGACATGGATATTACATGTTTATATTTTTATTTATAAATGTAGTACTTCTAATGGACTTTAGTACATTTAGTATTTATAGTTTTTATAAAATATATATTTTTATATTAAAGATAGTTGATTTTAGAATTACATATTATACAATTGATATTGTTGTAAAACAATTGGAATAATACTAATCTATCCATATTACATGCATTAGTAAAGTAATAAATATTTCTACAATAATAATGACATGTATGTATGTATGTCTCTCTGTCTCTGTCTCTCTATGTATATACATGTATATATGTGAATATTAAATACAATATAACTAATATACATATATATATATATATATATATATATAGAGAGAGAGAGAGAGAGAGAGAGAGAGAGAGAAAATAGTTTGATTATAAAATAAAAAGACTATATAAAAGTAAATGATAGCTCAAGCTTTGTTAATAGAATCTATAAAACATGAAAAAACTATTATATATATATATATATATATATATATATACATACATACATATGCACATATACTGAATGTGATTAAATTTTTATCAAATTATTTAAAAATATGAAAGACTATATCTTTAAACTTATTTATATATGTGTGTGTATATATATATATATATATATATATATATATATATATATCTATAAATAATTTGAATAACCTAATTTGTAACAAAAATAAAATCTTAAGTTATTAGCAATGTATTTATTATTGTATAAGAAGTTTATACATATACTTTTAGACTTAATTAATGGTAATTTTTTATTTCTAAATTTTTGTGATACTTTAAATAAATGCTAGATCACTGATTCCTATAAAATATTGAATATTTAATTTTTTCATATAAATAAATTATAATTTTGACTATGTATGAACTTCTTAAAACGTATAATATTACAACCACATTGAAAAAGAATATGATACATGCATAAAAGAAGCAGATAAAATCATTTAGAAAAATATAAAATGAATTTTTTTTTAAAGTAAGGTTTTAATTTCAAAGATCATAGAACCAAAGAAGTGTTTTAAGTTATATAACTATTTATTTAAATAAAATAAATATTTAAAATAGTAAGAGTAATATCAAAATAATAAATCAATGTTGTTTTAAAAAGAACTTAAGTTATCCATTCAAGTCTTAATAATACTTATATTTGTTTTAACTTATTCAAATACCAAAGTCAAGTTTAGAAGTGATAAGTTTTTTGAAATTACTTATTAAATCGCTTTTAATACATAAATTGTAATATTTTATATTATTTGAAGTAAATGGTAGCTAAAAATTACTTTTATTTGGATATGTTTAAAACAGAACACAAAAAAGGTATGAATTGTAGAAATAAAAATACATATTTTTAACACATCACATGACATTTTATATAAAGATCTTTAATCTTTTTTTTAAAAGAATTCATACATGACCATTGGTTGTATAATATTAACCAAAAAATATGTATCTATTATATATTTTTATATAATAATAATGGAACTTATATGAGTTAGCAAAGTAGTACTTAATATGATATCTGTAACTTTTTATTGAATTTTAAACTATCATAAATTAAGAAAGGAAAATTATGAAGTATGAATTAAGTATCTAATTTACAAGCACACAATCAAAAAGTATTGAGACAAAAATAAAATAATTATAAAGAAATTTTTTGTAATGCTTAATGAAAATGTAATATTGATTATATCATATCTGTTTTTTTAAAAAAAATTGACTAATATAATTAATAACTGTTAAAAAAAAGTTGTATAGATAATTTCAACTAGATCATAATCTACTTGTTAATATTTGTATTCCTGTAATATTATTAGTATTCTTAAATTCAATTAGGCTTAACATAATATTTTCATTAAAATATTAGATATAATAGATTTTATTCATTGTTATTATTACTATGTCAATTATAGGAATAAAAAATTGATACCAAAATTTTACCACAAATGTTGGTTATGTGATGCTTTAGTTACCTATCAATAAAATTAAACTATTGAATTATATATAATGACTTCAAGAAGAAAAAAAACTATTAATGTTGGTATTCTATTGATTTTTTACAATAATTATTTTCAAATTATAACCAAATTTCTTTTGATAACAAATATTCATGATTAACAACACGTACATAGAAAGTAATGATATTTTATTAGTTGATCTAAAAACTAATGGTTTGTTTTTAAAAGAAGATGTAGATAATATTTTAAGATTCATACTATATATATAATAAATCCATCTTTTTGTTATTTTTATTAAAAGCTATTTGATTTGGATTTAAATTTTCTATGGCCACTGCTGGTCCTATATTGTAGAAATTTCCCACCTATTATGATAAAAAATTATATTAGATTTAAAATATTTAATTATATATATATATATATATATATATTAAAATTTATTATCACATAAGAACTAACTAATAGATTGAATGACTTTATTTTAAATAATTTGCTATAAAACCGTACATAAAACAGATTTGCTACTTTTATGTTGTAGAATAAATATTTTTTATTAAGTTTTTTAAAAATAATATAAAAGAGAATATTTTTGTTTTGTTGGTAAGAACTAAGTACGCAAAGAATCTAAGTAGTGTTAGATTTTAATTTTAAAAATAAAAATATTTATCTCAGTTTATCAAAATATATATATATATATATATATATATATATGAATTGTTGGATAATTTTAAATATATATGGATAATTCTTAAAATATTAAATATAGAATATGAGATATGAAATATGAAGATACATGGTATTTTGTGAAAATTATTATAATTTATTTATAAAACTTTGAGAAAAAAGTATTAATCTCATAGTTGTCAAATATTTGGTTTTATAGAGTAGTATAAAAATGTAGGACATAAGCAATCTAATAATTAGGTTATTCTTAAGAATGGCTTTTAAACTACACATATGATCTTTTCTTAACTGATATTAGTACATAGGATTAGCAAATTCAAAATTGAATCTACAAAACTGAGACAAAGAAGAAAAAAATAAAAAATAAAAAATAAAAATGAACATTTTTTTTATTAATATAATTGATATTAATAACACTGAAAATACTTAATTACAAGAAGAAGTAATATGAAAACTAACCAATATTGGTCATTTCAACAATAGAAATTATATTTTTTGTAAATCAAGAGATACACAATACATGAAAAAAGTGGATTTTTTAAAAACTTGATATTGAATAATAACCCATAAATTTAAGGTTTTCTTGAATTGGTTTTTTTTTGTTTGCATTCAATATATATATATATATATATTTATTTACGATTTGTTTTAAATTTAGCAAGTTTAATTTATTACAATATAAAAAATAATCGTGTTAGAAAAAATCAAATATAAATGTCATCCATATATTATACTAAATATAATAAGATAACACATATCAAGCTATTTTTAAATACACATATTAGGAGACCCAAAAGACAACAAAGCATACTTCAGAAAGCCATGATTTGTAATCTTTGTGAAGGTCCTTTACTTAACAAAGAGTAGTTATTTTAGAAACCTTGACTCTTAGAGATAGTACAAAATAAGAAGAGGTTGAGATATGAATCAAATTAGTATTTGATAACAATTGTACATATCTTAATTGTGAATATTATAGCAAATGTATCTAAATACATACATACATACATACATACATACATGTTACTAATATCTTATACAACTTCATAAATTTTACAAAACCTATATTTTGAGGTGGATCTCAACAAAATTCTCAACTTCTCCATTTACCATAGAGTTTACAGCACCAATGTCTGGTAGCATAAATAACCATTTTTAAAAGGATAAGTGTATGAATGGAATAAAATTTAAAGCCCAATAGCATAATTTTTTGTAGGAGGAACAAGATGTCCCTGATTGTGAGAAGATAAATATATTCGTGTAGAAATCTACACTGTCAACAAACACTACTGAAGCGTGAAAACAATGAAATTTTAATATGAATAGTAATCACCACTGCAAAACTCATGGGACTTTATGGGACCAAGATGACTATGTGATCAGGCAATCAGTCTCGTCTTTATTTTTGGGGCCCTTCTCATAAACGATGTGATAAGTCACCGAGCAGTGGCCAGCTTCACTTCATTAGTTTGCTTGCGTCTCTTTCCAAATTACCCACAACATGCATGACTTCAGGTCTAATTCTGCGTGGTTCTTTAAAACTTTGGTCCTATTTCGTGAAGGAGCGGAAGCAGGAACAGCTTTGTGCATGAGCACGTCAGGAAATTAGTGCGATGAGCTTGTAATCGTCAGATGCCGAAGAGCTCATACTCCACACATCGTCATTGTAATATCAGTGAGTGAAAGATGGATGACAGGGAAAAAGGCTACTTTACAATGACCAGAGTTGCACAACTTAGACTTGAAGCTCGCCTGGAGTGGTAAACAGGAGGATAATGAATCTACACGGCTCCAGTTTTGAAGAGAGTTGGTTCACACGCTTACAATCCTTGCAACAGGTCCACCTGGCTCCTGAAGAGGCACAAGCATGGTGTGATGGCAGTCTCGTTCGAATGTTAAGTGAGGTTGCAGTTTTGAACTGCAGTGTCAGTTAATAGACAAGACCCACACAAGACACAGGTATTCTGCATTATTCCGATTGGAAATAGTTCTGGTAAAATAGTGGAGGCAAAAGATAGATCACGATCACATCAATCTGGAAGAAGATGAAAAGACCGGGGAGTTGAAACTACCCAATTTGAAGTGCTGTTTCAGTGAACAAACGTAAGGAAAAATACCCCAGCCTTGCATCCTACAATGCCCAAGTAGAGTGAACACCGACGATCAGTGTTCGTCGAAGTTTACTTATATTGAGAGAATACAAAGAAAAATGAGAGCCTCCAGGCCTAAAATCTAAATGAAAAGAGGAGAAGTTTCTCTGGCTTCATTTTCCTCTACAACCTGATGAGCATACAGCAACCAGCACATATCACACGGTAAGAACTTATCTAATCAATTGGATCTGTGTAGCAGGCGAGCTCTAGGTGTACACTAACTCTTCTTTAATAAATGTGTAAATTTGGAGGACCACATAAACTTTCAATCAAAAGAACTCAGTAAAGGGGAGAATCTACAGGCTATCGTAAATCTGCTACTTCCACAGCTCTAGAACCTAATGAAAAGCTCAATCCTAAAATGACCTGGAACTGCAATTTCTAGAGGACGTTCAGTAGTTCCTATATACCTGGAAATCGATCTTGCACACCGCTATGAAATGCAAATAATCTATTTCCAACAGTATCACCCCGATGGCCACTGGTTGACTACCGCTAAAAGAAACAACTACACCAGAGTATAACACATTCTCTGCTGGTAAGTTGGTAGATGTCATAATCAATTCAAGCTGCACGGACAGTCCCTAAGATTAATGTACACAGCAAGCCATTACTTGGTGATGGGTGATAGAATATTGGAGGCCATCAAGGAATGTGACGAGGACTTGGGAGCATTACACCTCAGCCCTCCTAGGTTGCCCACTGTGCTGTCAGTTGACCCTCCGGCTGAACAGATCAATAGGGAATCAGGTGTCAAGGCCAGGTTTAGCAGAACTTGGGTCATGGCAAATATGCTTCGACCTCGGGAGTAAAAAAAATTGATTGAACCCAGTATGAGGAATAGATCCATTACAGGTTCTTCTTTGATGTTCCTACAGAACGATCGGTGCCATCAGCAAACCTTGGGAGGTTCAAAATAGAGTTGACGCGTGTAACCCCTTCCAACGCACTCCATTCTTCTGATTCATCTGCGTCCAGCCAGTCAGCCAAGCTCCTGTGACGTTTTGATTCATTGAGACCAGGTTCGTTGGTCTCTTTAACGTCCACTATCTCTCCAATCTCTTGAACATCATCCTTTGGAGCTTTCAGAATGCTAGAATCTGTCCTCCGATTCTCCTCATCACGAGTTCCAGCGTCCTGTCTGCTTTGAAGACTGGTTTGGGGACTTGATAGTAAAACCCCTACATTGTCGACCTCGGAGGACTCCGTGGAAATGTCAGAATTAACGTCCAAGTATAGGACCACAACAGCGCAATCGTCCACTTTGGATGTGGGGTACTTGAGGCGCCAAACCCGGACAGCAGACTCCACCAGGGAACGGGCTGCTGTTGCACGAGAGGTTGCAGTCGCTACGACTTGTACAGCTTCCTCGTTACTTAACACATCCCAAATCTGGAATCACAACAAATAACAATGCAGTTTTAAATTTTCCTTCATTTTCCAAGAAAAGAACTTCGAACTAGAAATTATGAAGATACACCACAAATCATGAATTACCCAGGGGTTTTAGATGGTTAGGTTTGAAGTAATGACAAGTCTAATAGTAGTACAATTATCATGTCGAAAACACCGGAGAAACACAATCTCACAGGAAACACCAGAGGAGAATCGGGAGAAGTTGCACGAGGAAATGGCACCAATAGAATTATTTAGGTGTTTTAAGAAGACGACGGAGTCAATATTAGAAAGGAAAATCAAGAAAGCCATACCCCATCAGTAGCCAGAATGAGAAACTTGTCTCGATCAGTTACTTCGCGATAGGTAACATCAGGGACCGCTATTACACCATAATCCTTGAGGCAGAAGTCGCCGAAAGCTCTGGCCATGGCTAGCCCAGGGGAGTTGTCAAACGGCAGCCATACCCTCATGACATCAGGCTCGTCTTGGAGAGCAAATACACGACCCTTGCATTCTTTGATTCTCTCAGCTTCATCTGAACAACGTAGCAAAAAATATAAAAAAATAAAAAATAAAAAATTCAAGTAGAATTCTGAAAAGTAGATTGATGATTACAATGTGGAGTCTGTTACACAGCAGCCCTTCTAGAATACAAAGCCTTCCATCTTGGAGGTTGATATACGAGAGGTTGAATGAGTATGTAGAAGGTGAAGGATAGAAATGTACGAGGTAGGTTGGGCTTCAAATCAACGGTTAACTGAACAGATTTCCAGCAACCATTTTCATCTCGAGTTCCCATAATTGCTCGCGAATCACCTACATTGCCAATTACAAGATATTTTCCCTGCAATACCAGATTACGGCGTTTTCAGTAATGAAAACAAACCAAGCCGCGACTCTCCAAAAGAAACTTCAATTAGATGCATATCAGATCCCACAAGCTGGGATTACCTTAGTATGCACCGCATTAAATCTTAAACCCTAAATCCTACACACAACACACGATCCTGCAGGTTTTTGAATCGAGTTTAGCATAAATGTGTGTTGTATACGGGACGACTCCACAGGATTTTTACACTGTAAATGAAAATGAAAGCAAACCTGCTTGAGAACCGTAACAGTAGTGGTCCCGCTGCAAAAGCAGTCGATAACAGGATGCATCCGCAATTCTTGATCCATTTCCTTGAAGGCCAACAGATGCGACTCCTTCCAAGGCCCAAACATAGCAGGAGGCTCTATGACGATCGGTTGCGGCTCCGTCACAGACAACTCTTTTGAAAGTTCCCTTGAAGAAAACTCCTCCGCATCGGACATCGCACTCTCATATGTAGTGCTCACATTCGAGCCGTAATCAGTGCGCTTGCTATCTCCAATGCCCGGCTGATCATCTTCAATGCCCTTGGACGCCTTCATGAATGCCAATTGGTCGTGCCAGAAAGCCACAAGCTTCGACGGTAGAGAATCTCGCACTCGTTTCGCTACCAAGTGACCAAAAGGACCGTGGCCATCGAACACTCCACAAAAAACAGTGTCCTCCATCGATGCAAACTTCTGAAACTCTTAAAAAAAACCCCCATTTAGATACGCGATAAATATTCATGCACCTGAAGGATAACCAATTGCGTCTTACGCCAAACCCTATGCTCGAGCTAGAATGGATGCATGTAACAATGCAGCAAGAAGCGCAAACATGAATTAGTACATAAAGTTCAGCAGATTGTTTTCGAACCCAACGCTAGACTTACGATTCAAATGAGAAAGTTGCCAAAACCAATCACAATCGATCGAATCCAACTGGAAGAGCAAAATTCCATACCTCCCAAACCAGCATGGCATCTTGATTGGTTCCCTTTCGACCCTGCTGTGTGAATACACAAGCTGCTTCGGTGGCGCCAATGCGAACCATCCGCCCGGGGGTCATAGATAGAACTAAGTCTCGCTTACCCTCAGCTGTCAAGGCTTCCACAACCTGCTTCTGCATCTCTCTTTTGCGGTGCTTCCTACCCGACGGCTGCTTCTCCACCCCATTAGTCCCCATTGCATCGGTCGACATGCATGTCCCCATGCTGGGCAACCTAGGTTGCTGGATACCCTCACTAACCTAGAGCCTTGGCAGTGTCATAGGCAGCTCCCCTTCCCAGAATTTCTATCAAACTAGTAAAAATGCAACTGACAGTTCTATAATCCAAAGCTGCACCCTTCTACCCGATCTCCAATACTCGGCTATCCATTTCCAGTTGTTGAAAGTCCGCTTCAAACACCCAGTTTCGCCTTGCTAATGTGCTAGTTGCTGAAATTCCATATTGGATTAAACGCGAGTATAGAGCGTTTTCCTCATCTACGAAGCGAATTTCCAAATGATGAGCTTAGATTTCATTCCGAAGACAAGAGCTCCAATCCCAGGAACCCTGAAAATAGAGAACAAACAAAGATTACTTGATTTGTTTGCCAAACCCCTTCACCAAACCCTCCATTTCACTATTTCTTCTATCCCTATAGGGCCATTGAAAGTAAGCTCTGTCGGAATGCGCTTTCGTGCATTCGAGTCCAAGCAAGGAAAATGTTTCGCAACAAGTAACAGTCTTCACAAATTCGTAAGCATCAGACTATACGAACTGAATCTGAAGTATTATCTAATGAAACAAAAACATTAACCAAGAAACTTCAAACCCATTGGCGCGTTCAATTCACAACCTTCACTCACCTATGCCTCTACATCCCCCAAGCGTATGACTCGCGCAACCACAATGAAATCCTCCAACCAAGCCACCCTTCACTGACGCACGCAACACGACCAAAGATGCACGAAAATCCTCGCAGAGAAATGACGAGTTTCTCGACAATCAACCCGTTAACCACTGCTGTCGCTATCATCTAACGGGCCTCGGGATCTCCGCCCACTTGTCTTCAGCCCCCGCCAATAGCCAAGCTTCTCCTCACTCGCGTGAAGTCCATCAAAAAGTATACGGTGAAATCCACAGCAACACTCCCAACTAGCCAAATCACTTGAATGCATCCATTCTAGCAATTTAAAAACAAACCCCCTAGGGTCCAAGGAAACATCGGAAGCTGACTGAACGATGCAAAATATCGATCAGCTACATCATCTAGCACGCGCATCTAATGCACATGATTGTAAAGAAGCTTTCTGCTGATGATGGCGACGATAGTAGCGTATCCATAGCTGCCGACATAAAGGATATTCAGTCATCATTCTCTCCTGCCACCTTCTAGTCCTACCGATTAGGATTTCGTGGATGGGGCAGAAATCCTCGATCAAGCTAAGACCTAGTGCGACAGTACCCAGGCTCCTGCTACCCTCTAAGCATCTCGAACTTGGGGATTGTGTACGCCACCGCTTACTTCCATCGACCACAGTACCCACAACTACCTACAGCAGCCACTTTGGTGCAGAACGAACTTCAAAAAACTGCATTGCCGGGTCCCCGGTTAGGTTTTTCCTTTTACTACTACGGCGCCCACACGTGCAGACTGCTCAATGGCAAGATAGAATCCGTAGGGCTCTCTGCGTTCCTAATTTTACCTGACTCTGCCTGAGGCGCCGCGCTCGAAGCTCTTGTCATTGGATGCTATTGGGGGTTTATGGCAACGATTGGATTGTTTTTGAACGCAAAGTAGGGGAGTAGGGGGGATGAACTGTACGTTGACATCAGCGCATGTAGAATGCGCTTGTGATTCAGGTGGGGGTGATGTGTCAGGCCGGACCCACGCAAGATTTGCGAAACTGCGGGGCGTCTGGCGTGCCTTCTGGATCTTGGGCGACTCTAGCTTCGCAGGCTAGCCCTAAACCAAGATTCCATGACTTTCTTCATGGTGTGTTCGATGCTTTGGGTGGTTTCAGTCGGAGGTTAGTCTGACTCATTGTCTGCTCCTCCAATCATGGTGGCCATCGTTGTCTGCAACTCATTCAACGCACCCGTATACTCCGTGAGTTAATTGAAAGGAAAACCCATGTGGACGACATCGTGCACATATATTCAACAGTTAAATCAGTGTTTTTTAGTGGTGTTTTGAAGAAAGGTACTCGGATACCATCTTGAAGACAAAAAGTAAAGAGAGAGGGAACGTGGGTTTACGTTAGAGAAGTGTAGGAGTTGTCAAGATGAGGATGGATCTGCAGGAAACAGGGAAACTTGCTTCGCATAATGCAGCGTCCCCAACGAGACGGCTAGGGAAGTTTCTTGGTTAGCGACACTCTGGTTATTTTACGCGTCCCTATTGTTTAAAGGTGATTGTCAACATATGCAGCTTCTGTGGCTTCACCGCACGAGAGTTTTGCTCTCTGTGTAGCGGATAGTGCACTCAGGGGGTAGCGTCGTCCGACGAAAACTTCCAAGATACATTCGCCTTGGTCGACACATGCAGCAGCCATGCAGAAGCATTAAGAGATTTCTTTCAGTCTTTCTAGTTGTTTTCTAACTCTTTTTTATTTAATTATTTATTTTTCATATGTCCTAAACGCTGATCATAAGCATCTAGAACCTTATTGACTTTTTCTAATTAACCAACAGGCAGCATTTGTTGGTCCTCCTCCTCCAATGTGAATCTACAAGTATATCCCACCTGCAAACTCAAAGCGAAATCCTGTGCACAGGGCAAATATCCCAGTATCAAATAGCTTGCTATAGTCACCTCAGGACAGCTCATGAATGGAACCATCTCGGCAGTGAGATTATGTTTCAGCAACGCTACTGTGTGACGCTTCCCACATGCTACTGCTGGTGGATTCACTACTCTCAACCAAGGATTTTAAGGAAGTGTGCATAGATTCTGCTGGTGAAGTTAAGTTCTTGTTATTGGACTCTCCTCTGAAGGAATATCGTCTTCAAAAAAGTGACTACATCGGACAGTCATGTCTGGCTTTGCGAAGCTGCGACACGAGAAAGTAAAAACTTGGTCTCTCTAACTGGATCTACATAGAAGAGTCCTCGAAGACCGACACTTCCACTTCCATAGTGAGTGCCTAAGCTATAGTACAGTGGGAGTGATTGAGCCAGGCAGGTCGAATCGCAAATCTACCCCTCAACTGGGAAAAAAAAAAAAAGAGGTATCTTGTATCTGGAGTTCTCCCATCTGCATGCTGTGTCGGCCATGAGTCATGTCCCACTATGGTGCAGATTATCTACACATTTCCAGCAGTGCAGATGAGACAAAATGTCATAATTCTCTAGAGGCAAAGCGCCCGTTGTATATGCAACGAGTTCTATATTCAAAATACCGCCCAAGTACTCGCTTGCAGCCTCTACTGATCAGACTCATATGTAACTGATTCAGAACCCAGAAGCTATGCTCGGAGAGCACAAGCTGCTTACCTAAGGGTGGAAAATAGGCATAAATCAGCAACCTCCTCCACTCAAATAGCAACCTTCTTAAGAGCAAATGCGCACCCCTAGTGAGTGGGCAAGAAACGTTTTCTTCGGAATTCATCGTCAATTCTGCTCATGAGGGATTGTGCTGCTGTCGTGCAGGGTTTTGCTGTTGCAGCCTCCTGGGCAGGTTTAAGAGAGAGTTAACTCGAGTCACCCCCTCCAAGGCTGACCACTCCTCCTCCTCTTTCACATCGGCGTCCAGCCAATCGGCCAACTTTCGGGGCTGCTTCGTGGTTTTGAAGTCTTTTGATGGCTCCCCAGGTGAGATCTCCTCAGTTCCAGAAGACTGCGATGCTTGCAGGTCTTGAGGTTCCGGTGATCGTCCAGCCACAGAGGTTCCACGCTCCCAGTGAGAGCCATTCGAGCCAAGGTATTTGTCATGGGTGCCGTTGGGCTTGGATGTCTCCTTCGGTGGCAAGCTCTCGCTTGAAGCCGAGAATGTTTGGTCCACGTATAGGCACACCACGGCACAATCGTCTACTTTCGAGGTGGGGTACTTCAACCTCCAGACACGCACAGCGGATTCCACAAGAGCACGCGCGGCTGTTGCGCGTGTTGGCGCTTGCGCTACCACTTGCACCACCTCTTCATTGCTTAGAACATCCCAAATCTGAACATTTACCAAGGCACATTCTATGAACTCAAGGGAAAACTGTAATAAGATCGCTTTCAAGACACAGTGAGTTGAAGAACACGTTTCATGGAGAGTTTTGTGGTGGTTTTTGCGCAAGACATACCCCATCAGTTGCTAGAACAATGAACTGATCTTGCTTTGTCAGTTGTCGGTAACACATCTCCGGGACGGCAATGACACCGTAGTCTTTCAAGCAAAAATCACCAAATGCACGGGCCATTGCAAGCCCAGGTGAATCATCGAAAGGCAACCAGACGCGCGGAACCTCTGGCTCATCATGCAATGCAAAGACGCGCCCACGGCACTGACGGATTCGCTCCGCTTCTCCTGAAATATTAAGTACTGTGAGTGCTCCAGCAAAGTTACCAAAACCTACAAATGACCTTCACAATTCAAAGACTAACAAAAATCTAGCCACCAAACCAACTCAAATTTTGTCGCCGAGATACCGAAACAACGAGAGATCGTTCATTACATTGAAAAAGCATTTGTCACTTACGTGGCAGATTTGGTTTCAAGTCTACCGTCAACTGGACAGCTTTCCAGCTCCCATTGTCATCCTTCGTGCCCAGAATTGCCCGAGAGTCTCCAACATTCCCAATCACTAGATGTTTGCCCTGTACAAATAGCAATCGTTGGACACAACACGCAGACCCTTGGCGCCCACAACAGCCAGAAACATTAAAAATCAAAATTCAACTGGCTAAAGATCATTCAGACGTATTCACGGCAAAGACGTTCACCTGCTTTAACACAGTAACGGCAGTTGTACCGCTGCAAAAACAGTCTATCCCAGGATGAGACCGCAGCTCCTTGTCCATGATTCTGTACCCTGTCAAATGCGCTTCCTTCCACACATCGAACATTGGGTGCTCCTTACCTTCTTCCACAGTGTCGGTTGATACCATTTTGTGTTCTCCATTCACTGAGTGTGTAGATCTCCCGTTTTGATGCACAGCTCCATTCCTGACACCATTACCTGCAATTCCATTGTGCTCTGGAGTTTCTGGCTTGTGTTGCCCAAGATTAGCCTGGTGCTCCTCCCAGAACTGCAGGAGCTTCGAAGGGACTGAGTCTCGCACCCGCCGTGCTACAAGATGCCCATAGGGGCCATGTCCATCGAAGACCCCACAGAATACCGTATCCTCCATCGAAGCATAATTCTGCGCAAAAGCACACCAGAAGAGATAAAAACCAAAGCCATTAGAATTGAACCTACCTCGCAGTTAAATCAATCCAAATTGTTAAGCATCTCTTACAGCTCTCGGCTGTCTCTCTCTGAGTAGAACTTTGGTACTACACTCGACTAGTGTGAGGCACAGTGAATCAGATAAGGATCTCAGCATTGCAACAATCAAATTACAGCTCCAGAAACCCATGTTTTCGCACAGAGGGGCGTAAAGGAAATGCTAACCTAGAATGACAAAAAAAAAGTAAACTAAACATAGCTTGATTGTTTCAACTGTACGTCCATCTGTTACTATTTACTTTACTAAAAGTGACGCGGTTGATGAAACAAGGTAGGACCGGATCAACGTTCAACTAAATGAATGAGCACAGTTCTTCGATCCGTAGAAGAAGACCAAACACAAGTAAAACAAGCCCTGAAACCAGAAGGAGCGTATTAAATGACTACTACTTGGGTTTCGTACCAAATATGTGGCCAAGCCCCAAACATTCAGAAACCATTGGTATGAGGAAAAGCAAGGGATTGAGCATACCTCCCACACCACCATGGCATCTTGGTTGGTTCCTTTGCGGCCTTGCTGAGTGAAGATGCAGGCATTGCTACTGGCACCGTTAGAAAACATGCGGCCAGGAACCATAGCCAAGAGAGCATCGGCTTTCCCCTCCGTGCTCAAATTCTGCAACACCTCCTTCTTCGTCTGTATCCTATCCTGCAGTTCATCCTCCACCACGGGAGTTGAAGCGCAGCAACCCATTTTTTTCCTTTCACGCTCAAAGCTCGTTGTCCTCCTGCAATAAGCTTTGTTCTAAGCGGCTTCTCTCACTTCCCATGTAAGTCGACAATCCTGTGCTTTGATCTCGGACGAGCCCATCCTCATTCCGCCAACCAAGCCAAACCCTCGATTGCCAGGCCCCTCTATCGTGGGGGAAGGGAGAAAATTAAATAACAAACCAAACTGTAAAACAACGGGGGGAAATCAGTTACTACCCTTGCAGAATAACGCAAGGGTTGTCACCTAAGTGCTGCTGGTGGAGGAAGAACGTTGAGAGTGGGGACAAGCTCCAGAAAAAAAAAACGAAAAAAAAAAAAAAAAAAAAAAAAAAAAAAAAAAAAAGATGGCTCCGTAAAGTAGGCAGCCGAAGACCAACTAAGATGTTCTTAATGGCTTCCTCGGAGGCTATCGGTCAGAAAGCACACAATCTTCTGATGTCAAAGTGGAAGTAAGAGGATTGTGATTTCTACCCATTGTTTAAGATCCTCATAGTACCACTACCAAGTTCTAACCAGAGGGCGTGATCCTGGACAGCACCTTTAAATTTGGGTGAATTTAGTTGATCTCGAGGAGCCAATGTGCGTGACGCGTAGTCAACTTGTCGCGAGAGCGGTACTATTACTGCAATTCCCAGGCCTTCTTCCAAATTGATATATATATATATAGAGAGAGAGAGAGAGAGAGAGAGAGAGAGAGAATTTACAAAGAAAGGACCAGCACAGTGAGGAAAAAGAAACGACCGAGAAACTCAGAGGCTACGGAGCAACCCGCACCGTGGTAAAGTCAAGAAGATGATCAAACCTCTCTGAGTAATGCGCAAAGCACAAATCACAAACACCACCCGTTTGGGCTCGGTGAGCACCACTTCCAGCAACCGACTTCAGATTGCAAGTAATCGGAAACAAGTGATCTCCACCCCCAAAACCAAGCACGTCACGTCTTCCTGCTCGGTGACCGGCCCAATCTGACTAACCCGCCTAGGTCGCCATTCCCCGCAAGGCCAGCAGCGGCGAAGCGGCGTAAACACACACTCTAGCCGACAAGGAGGATCAATTGGAGACCTCAGCTCGCGCACGAAGAGTCACTTCTAAAAACCTTCCGAAAAGGTCCAGAACTGGGGGCTGAGAGAGTATGTGAAGGTGGAAAGCGGGGGAGTAGGGGGGGAGAGTGATGGCTCATAATGGATGGCACAAGGGAAAGGGGGAGCATTCATGGAGGTTTGCTCGCAGGCAGGGCTGCTGAGGAGAAGAAGAGCTCTGAAAGGACTGCCAGACCTCCAGTGCCAGGAAACACAGCCATGTATTGCAAACGGCAGTACGCCTCCCAGGCCCCTCATTAGGGAGCTCTGCTGTCTACAGTAATCTGCCATTAAATTCAACTTGAATAAAAACTTAAGGCAAAGCAGCCCAGTGCTCGGCAACGCCACAGGCAGGCAGGCAGGCAGGCTACAGTGAAATAAACCACGCGTCGGCAAATTTAAAAAGGGGGGGGGGGTGGGTGGGCTCTCGGTGCTGTTTTCGTGGAATTAGTTTTCTGTTTCGGATGTTTGGTCGCCGATCTCGCCCCGAAGCTGCCCATCGGGTGTTGTAAACCTTCCGAAAGAGATTCAGCGTGAGATGACTAATTCCTTGTAGCGAAACTTCTGCCAGATTTCCCCAAAAGTGGGCAGTGTTGAAGAACGATGAGGAATTTCCTGAATTATACGACTCTGACTTGTTACGCCACGGGGCTAGTCCGCCATAAAAGCTTGAAAACGTTGGCATGTATTACTGCCCAAAGCTTTCTCTGTAAGTATATGTAATAAAACAAATACCCAGTGCAGTGCAGTGTTTTATTTCTTTCTTTCTTTCTTTCTTTTATTAAATTCGTGAAAAAAGAAGCTGTTGAAAGTTTCCATGCGACCAATCGCCTGAATTTGAGGGGGGGGGTTATGATTATATGAATATAATAAAAAAGAACAAACAAACAATCAAACAAACAACTGACTGACTCTTGCAACGTGTTGGTTTCCTTTCATCGTGCTCGCAGTAGAACCCATAACCCCTGAACTAGGATTTGACTTTCCTTCATAGGATTCCGAACAGCTTTACCGTGAGTAAGAATTGATGGAGTGTCTTATTAGTGCAGCTCTGTGGAGGCAAAGTGAGGTGGCCAACAGGGAGTGTAGCAGCAGAACGGGCTTGAACCAGTGCTCCAGGCGCAGAAGAGAGAGAGCTTTGATGTAGCCCGGAAGGAGGGGCAAGGGGAGGGACAGGGGCTGTGTGAGAATCAGCAGCACCACGCCCTCCTTTTTTGCCACTTGAACACGAACAAGGGCACTTCTCCTCCTCCTCTTCCTCCTCTTCCTCCTCCTCCGGACCCAGTCGTGACAGCGCAAAGCAGAAAAGTCCGATGGAGGCGAAGCCGCGATGCGGATCACCTGGCCCCACATCCCCACACCCCTTGTTGTCCTTGTCCTCGTATGCGCGCGAGAGAGAAGCACAGACTCACCTCACTCACTCACTCACTCACAGCAGCAGCAGCATAGGCATATCTGCTCCATAGCTTCACGCTGCTGCAGCTGCCAAGCTATGCCATCTCCTCGCAACGCCAGCAGCCATAGCAGCCTCGTCGCCGGAGACGACAACCGACCCCACCACCGCAAAGAAGAAGAAGAATGGCCCCCTAGGAAGGATGATCGCATTCATCTAACCAGCAGAAACACATCGGTGGATGGATAGAAGGATTCGTGGATGGATGTGTGTGTTTGTCATTCTTTTTTCATTCATCTAACGATACCCTCCGCATCCATTTCCCTTTCGCTTGCGTTGCCAAGTGGGACTTCATAGACGTTGGCAAAGAGGAGCCTTGCTTGGAGCTTCTGCTTCTTTATTTAAACATTATTTTGTAGATTTGAACAACAAAAGTACACTAAAATAATAAAAATAAATTTGAATAAATTTGAAATGATGTGATTGGTAGGTTTATTTTTTATTTTTTTATTTTTTTGTGCAATTACTTTGTGGTTTGATTTTAGTGTCATTTTAAAAGTAAAAATATTGAATATTAATGTTGAAGTGATGTGAGTGATCACGAGGAGTTTTTTACGTATTTTAAGAAAAAAGTGGGGTGTCTTCTTCATTGTTTAGAATATTTTTGACATGGCAATCTAAAAGATAATCCTTAAAGTAAAGATTATATTTTTGAAAATATCTAGAAATGAATTATTTCTATTTCATCTGTTAATTGAAATTTCTCTCTTTCTTCACACACACACACACACATATATATATATATATATATATATGTGTAAATTCAAGTATTATTCTTTCATATAAATAAATGGTAATATTTGATTTATCCCAAAATAAATTTAAGTTTAAACAGTCAGAGAATTTTACATGTGTAACGACCAAATTTATTTTTGTTTGTTCATAAAAACTCTTTAAGTTTACATAAACATCCAAAGATTGATATTTGTTTGAAAAATGCTTATTCTACATAAAAGCATTGTATATTTCAGTTTGTACATTACAAAAGTTCAATGTAAGTGACTTTGAGAGTTATTTAATTGTATTTCCTCATTTTATTCCAACGTATATTTTTTTTAAATAACTTCAAAAAGAAGAGCTTGAAATCTTAGTTTGTAACTTGGACAAGTTTTTTAAAAAATAAACAAGGTTTGAGTGTATTACAATTAATTAAAATTCAAGGTTCTACAACCATCAGAAACTCAAAACTAAAAGCTATTTTCAAAAAAATATTCACATGTTTTTACAATCACCGAATATATATATATATATATATATATATATTAATCCAGATTTATCAAATGCAAATTTAGAAGAAACCATGACAAATCATTCATTTTCTTAGACAGTCATTTGTTTGAAATCATAGATCATCTTCAACAAGACTCTACAAACCCCAGAACTAACTCAACTCAACAACAAATGCCACTTTACAATCTACATCGTCACCAATAATGGAATAAAAATGATAACCCTAAAATGGATCTATAAAAGAAGGTTGAAAATCATTGACATATGGATTCACTAAAGAATCATCCAATCAATAATGGAATATTCAAATCAAAGCATTTCTACTAGAAATCTTCTTCAACATTATTTGATAACATTATGTCTTTCATTGATAAAATATTGATGGGTTTTGAAAATGGTGTTGTTTTTTGTGCCTTGGAAGGTGCTACTACTTGATAATAATAGCATGGTACCATTCAATGGCTATTTGTATGATGAGTTTGGTAGCACATCCCAATGTGATTGGAATTCGCTACTTCAATTCATTTTTTTAGCATAAAAAAGTTAAGTTGTTAAAAATTATACCATAGACTTTTTCATTAAGACATTATTTAATCCTAATTTTTTTGAACAATTATACAAGCCCTTGCTGTTTACTATATATATAGTTTGTACTTTTTGATAGTTTAAAATGTTGCTTCTATGTCAATGAGGATTGCTTTGATTGTTCCAGGTCTATGTAGTTATGTGTTCTTAATTAGTCTAACTTTTATCCTTGTTCAGATTTGATAACATGTATCATAGTAGAAATTTATTTGTAATTTGTTTTAATCTGGTGATTTTTACTTTTTTACTTTTTTATTATTATGTGCTTTACACACATATACAAAACAATGCTTGTTTAAAAAAATTGGTTCAATTTTGAAGTATAATAAATCAGATCAAAACTTAGGATTCTATTTAGATATCATTGCACTTTTCTGTAGAAAGCATTCGTATTATAAAAACATCAGTTCCAAAATGAAGATATGTGTTTGTGCAAAATATTCTTAGAAGATAAAGTATCTTTAATGTGTGTTGTGAAAATATTAATTATAAATAAACAACAAATTTTGATATACTATATATATATACACATATAAAATAAGGATGTTGTATTTTGAGTTAATAACTTGTAATGGTTGATTTAGGCAAACTGTCAATGTATGGTTTTAATATCCACAAATTTGTGTGTATGTATGTGTGTGTGTGTATATGTGTATATATATATATATATTAATTTCAACCAATATTCATCTAGATATCAGAGCTTTTAAATTAACATTATCAAACAGTTTTTTTTAGAAAAGATGAATAATATTTCTACTCTACATTTATTTTATTTTTTTATATTTATACTGCAAAACTGAGTTTAAACCCTTTTTGCATCATTCCTTATCAATTTTAAATACAGGGTTCTTGTACTTTTTAAATGATATTAGTTCTGAACTCGCTTTAAGTTGGTTTTTTAGTGAAAATGCAAGTGTGAGGTTGTTGAGTAGTGCAATCATTTAACCACATTCTTGTTCAATAAATGAGTCTTTAAAGGTATGATGTGTAAACCATTAGAAATTAAAATCTGAAATATGGAAATGAATAGTTTACTTCTAGAAACTGTTTCATTTGAAGAAATTTTGTTTTAAAAGGAAAAGATTGAAATGATATTTCTGAATAGAAATGTTAAAGTTAAAATGTACATGGACAAATCTAATAACTGCGTTCAGTAGCAAGTATTTATTGGACCAAAGCTCTAGAAAGTTTTGAATAGATGGAGAAATTTATAAAAGCCCCAAAGACCATTAAGTTCACTTACTATTGCATAAGATCAAAAAATGAATTTTATAAAAATATATTATACTTAAACTTATAAAGGAGCAATTGTGATTTACATTCTAAAAATTAATAATAATGTTGTTCTATTAAATTAGTAATCAAATGAATTATTAAAATAGTATTTCACAGCCATGTTACTTGTATTATATAATAATAGTAGATAAATATTGAATATTAATTGTATGTTACTAAGGTAGAAAAAACAATTAACAAAATCTAAACCATTTCTATTGCTAGTTTTTAAGGTAACATCATTGAACAAGACAAAGACCTAACCAGACAATTTTAACAATACTTATAATAAATTTAATGCAGAATTATTTTCTTTGTTTTAAGAATACCACAAGAAAATTTTATAAAATTTTGTTTTTGTACATGACATTTCTAAAAACTCAAATATCATCTTAAAACTTTAAAATATATTCCTTTTAAAAAGTTAGAAAAAAGAATTTTAAAATATATGGATATTATGTAAAAAATAAAAATAAAAATTTTAAACAATTGGAACTTACATAAAAATATATTAATATACAAAAATCTTATGACCTTCAACTTTAATTATTTTCGGTCATAAGTTTTTTGTATATTAATATATTTTTATAATTTTTTACTTTAATTATAAATCTTTCTTTGTAATATTCTCTTGTTAAAAAAATTTAAAATATAAATTTTAAATATAAATTTATTAACAACATAGTTGGCACAAAAGTACAATATGCAGTTTTTCTTTAATTTTCAATAACTTAACATTAAAACATTGTAAATTTT